ATCCTGGAAATGCTAGATCAGTCAATGCCGACAGATCCTTCGGATTCACCTCCAGTCCATTGTGGGAGACTTTATGGCCGAGATATTCCACCTTAGGCATTCCCCAGAAACTCTTAACCACGCAGATGGACAGATTCCACTTATCGCACGCTTCGAGTAATCCCTCAACTCGATCTCATAGTTGATCCCAGTTATCGGCTGGTATCAGGATGTCGTCGATGTAGGATCTGCGCCCAAGCACCGATGGCTTGCCTGGATCCGCCGGTTCCCCGTCCTCAAACACATCCAAAGTACCTCCGTGATCTTCAGACTTCGGGATCCGGGTGAATCCGTATAGCGCGTTGTCGATCATGCGCTGATAGATCTGGGGCGCATTCTTCAAGCCGAAAGGCATCCGGTTCCACTCAAATAACCCGAAGGGAATGATAAAAGCCGAGATCAGGCGCGCACGATCCGTCATTTTCACTACCCAAAATCCACTCGCCATATCCAAAGAACAGTACCAAAGTGTCGACTCCAGATCTTCAAGTAGGTCGTTGATCAAGGGCATTGGATAGATCATCAGCTGAGTTAAGCTGTTAACCAGCCGATAATCGATACATAACCTGATATCCACTCCATTCTTCTTGATGATCACCACGATCGGGGAAGCCCGTGGTGATCTAGAGTAGTTGATCATTTTGGCAGACAATAGACCCTTGATCAAGTATGCCAGCTACTCCCTGAACTGAATCCGCATCTTACAACACTTCAGGGCGATAGGCCTCGCTCTTCCGCAGCCCTCGCTCCTCCGACATCGATATCGTACACCACACCTCTAGCCGCCCGCGGAAGGGCATTTCCTTTGCCGGTCAAGAGATGTCGTAACTTCCAGATCCTTTAGCGAAGTCGATCAATTTCTTCTCGGGTCTGATTATCAGATCCACACAGCTGAATGTCCTCGAGCTCTACTTCTTCCGTCGTCACGGGCACTTCTGGTAGTACCGCTACCTGATCGTCGACATCTTCCGCGGACAGATCACATCCTTCATGGTAGTATACACATTCATCATATTATTGATCTGAGTCCCAGGTGAGGTCCAGATCCGACGGTCCGGTTGATCTCCAACAAAAGGTGGTGGATCCATGTCCGTTTTGTGACATAAACGCGGCGCACTTGTCCTTCAACGGATCACTGGCTGCATGCCCCGTCCCAGATTGTACACTCATCATTGGTGACGGATCTGATCCACAGCATTTGGACGGTGATGTTCCTTGATCCTACAATCCCAAATGTCCCAGAGTTCCTCCTGGCACTCTGCCGATCCGCAGATCTGGCGTTCAGCGATGTCGTCGTCGACTTGGTATCCGGCGACATCTTGATCCCTTGTTCAGTCTTCACTTGAACTTCTTCTTGAGGCTCAAGGTGAAATCCCGAGCAATCAGAAGTTCCGGGCACGCGCACCATTGTGGTGGAGCGGGATCAGCAAAATTCTTGAGAGTTCTGGATCGGGCTTGCCACCGTGCCCAGGACAACGATTTAAGGAGGGGGTACTCCTGTTGATCCGTGATCAGCTGAACTTCCTCACCTTGTGTACCCGTCGGTAGGGGGGCTGGATCTTGCTCCTCCGGTACCTGCAGGAGAGGTCGAAGTGTTGAAGATCTTAATGTCTTGGTGAGACGCAGGGATGTGGTTAACAGCGCGGCCTATCGTTCATCCCATACAGTTCTGTATTAAGACCACTATTCAAAGTTCAAGTCAAAATTATAAAAAGATACCTGAGGTATTATTTTATGGCATAAAATTTCACAGGTAATCGACGACATTTGATTAAGAGTGAAAGGTTTCGGTGTGATTTTTGCTTAAAAGATACCTGAGGTATTATTTTATGGTCCGTTTTTTGATTGGGCAAAAAGTGGAATTCTCGATTTGGAGGAGGGGATCCTACTGCGAAAATGACATCACGCGCAGTACCGTGGAAGCCACCGCAAGTTCAAGCGGTAAATACAATATTCCTAATACGAGATCACCTTGTATGGCCAATGTATGTCTTGATCCGAGGTGTCCGTAGTACACTAAGTGGATCAAATAAATAAACAAGATTCACGCTAGAGGTGCTGTTTGTGCCAGTGGGGCCGGGCTGCTGTGGCTGGTGATTAGGTGCAAGCCTTGCCCACTGCTACAGCGGACGA